ATTACATAGTCCTGATCAAAATTCAATTAAACTTGTGTTTGTAAACTTCTGTCTCCTTCGTGTACCTCATACAGCAATACCAGACTCTATTTGTGCCCAGAGGATGCTCTGCAGACTTCGCTCGCTGTTTCAATTTGTGTCCTGGTTTGGAAATCCTCCTTTCCTGTACACCTTGTTGTTACTATTGCTCTTATGTATGGTGGCTTTCCTCCTTATATCAGTCCCACTCATAGATGTTTTTTATGCCATCCTTTCAGGAAAGTACAACAACAAATGTTTCTCGCTCAGGAAGTCTATGACTGTTTCAATCTCTGTCCATTTCTACCTTTTATTTACTTCCCAAAACTCTTTGATCTGCCTCAAAATGTACAATAAAATGGATTGCTCTGACTCTTCTGGCTCTGTCTTGACCTTGTATGCTACTGGGGACTGCTACAACCAGCAAGGCTGAATCCTGGCTGTCTTCAGAGTGAGGGAACTGCCTGACACGTCTTGTCTCAGTCCTGGATGGAGGTGTTTGTTTTCCACTTTGCATCAGTTGAGCTATAACTTGGGTTGGCTGGAGTTTGGCCCTTAGGTGCTTGCAAACATTATAAACCCAAATTCCCCTTGGCAGCCAGTTCACATTTTATGTGGCAATATTCATAACAATCCTTAATCACTGCTGCGTTATTTGGCAGCAGTTATAAAATGCAAATATTTCTCTCCTTTGCTTCCTTAACAGAAATATTACCTTTTGTGTTGCAGACCTATTAAACTAGGTGTTCACCTGTAGGATTTGATTTTTATTTTTAAATTATTTTAACTTTTATTTCTTGGGAAACTTATGTTCTAAATAGCTATTTTATACCTCCTCACCTAATGAGGAAGGTGCTTTAGCCAGTCCCAAGTGATTGTGGGCTCAAAGGTTGCTAGTGTTTCATTCCTATGGGGACTGTACTTCTGTTTTTTAAGGATAATTGTAACATTATTGAATTATTTGTCGTTTAACAGTTGCAACAATAAAGGTGATTTTTCTGTTGTTAATGGCTTAACTTGAGAATAATCCAAGCTGAAAATGGCTGGTGGCTATGAGAACAGGAGAATAAATTAAGGGAGTTTTGTGGCCAAAGTGCTTGTGTCTGTATTAAAGCGGATGCAGCTCCTGCTCTCAGGGATCAGTGTCCAGATGCTGTGCTCCTTCCCTTCCTTAAGGGATGAAGCTATTTTGGGAGTGGGAGGAGAACAAGGGAAATGGCATGATGGTTGATCTACTTAAATTCATAACTTGAGCCTGTTTTCAAATTCAAGTCTAATGAAAAGCATCAGAAAACTGAAGAATGTGGCTGCGGCCCAACAGTGGGAATAACAAATAACACCTAATCAGTTACACTCTAATCAGGTAAGTAAATATTGAAAGCCCTATGTATGTAGTTTAAAAGAGGTTATATTCAGCAAAAATCATGATTTAAAAACATTTTATGCACCTCCCTCTGCTCTAGCCTGTGGAATGCATGTTGTGACTGAGGAGTAAACGCTACCTGCCACTTCCTACCTGGCCCATCTCTGGCTCCCATTCTCCTAGTCTGCATTTACTTCTCTTGCTCACATCTTGTCTTCGTTAATGTGAGCAATTGGTTTTAAGATATGTAGCCTTGGTGAAACAAAAGGTGAGTTATAAAGTCTTCATTTTTTTAATAACAACTTTATTCTAGTTCCCTCTCTATGGGCCCCTTGATGACAGCATGTCTGGTAAGTGCTTCTAGTTTTGCACTGCAACCTGAGAAGACAGTGAAATATCAGGCATCTTTGTGGGAGAAAGCTGTGGTGAGTGAGATTTGGTGGCCATCTGCTGAGGGACCATCTCTGCAGCTCTAGGTGCATGAGGCTGTATGTGTGTGGTTGGAGGCAAGGAAGGCAGTTGAAGTGTTGAGAGTTACGGTGCTCAAATGAGGGCTTTGGAAAGGGGCTTGGGGTTGGGTAAAACCAGTGGTTTATCCACCCAGAACCGGGGTGGGTTGCTAAGGATTGTTATTAACTTGTATGGGAATGGGAATTAATCCCAAAAATGCTTTCATGCTCTGAGTAAGAGAGTGAGCAGACCTGCTGCTCCACATCTGGCTGCCTGATGCTGGTACCTTGGTGAAGCTTATGCAGGACTTTTGTAGTTCATGCCAAAGCCATAAAAATAGCATAACATCCATCTCTATGTAACAATTCTAAAGCCAATTTTTCATTAGTAGAGGCCAAACACAGCAATGAGGAGGAAGAAGCTGCTTTTTCTCATTTAATGTGTGCGATCAAAAGCTTAGTTATTTCTGAGTGGAGTGATTTAAAATATGTGACTGCTGGAATGACTTCATACCAGAAAGCACATGTGAATGTTGGAGAAATCTCCATATTTTGCCAGTTTGTCTCCCTGTTATCCTGAGAAGAGAGAGGTTGACTTCTAAGTTCCTATAAATGAGTGCCCTGGCCTGCAGAAGGATGGTTTTGCATATAGTTAAGAAGTTGCATTCTGCTGTACACATTCTTTGTCAAGAGGATGCTAGCAGGGAACTCTCAGGTCTCGGTAATATCAAAATAACCCAAAACCAGAAGCAGAACTAAAATGGGTCACGCTTTGCTCTTTTGAACTGGCTTACAGCTGGCCATCAGCACCCATCTGTGTATGTGAGTCCTTGGGAACTTACAGATGTTTGGAGCAAAAATGAGTTTGGCAAAGAGACCACTTCTGGGAACCTTTCTGGTAAAAGTTTTGCTTAATTTAGCCTTTCTATGGCTGTGTTTTGCAAAATTTTGGGAATCCAGCTGACTTCCAAGAACCAATGGAGTCATCACATTAACACAAATACTCAGAAGACTTACTCTGAAATAGATTTGGGCAGATTTCTTAGATTTCTTCAAAGGAGAAGTGTTCAGGCAAGAGGTCTTGACTCTTGCAAGGTGACACAGATTAACAAGTTTTGTTCTTTTTTTTCCTCTTCTTTTCCATCACTTAGAAGTATTAGGATAAATAAATGGAAAGTAATGGTACTGCCAGGAGCCATCCAATGCATTGAATCCTGAGCTGCCTGAGGTGTAATCATTCCTGCTGAAACTTGTCAGCAGAACTCCCTGGTATGCAGGCACCACTGCAGGCTGCAGTATTTCACTAGCCATTGCATTCATCATCCAACTGGAGGATTAGGGCTATAGCTATTAGTGTATACAGGTGTTGTGGTGGGCTTTTACCACTGTAAGAGTGGTAATTACTTTGATTTTTAAAGCCTGCCCAAATCATAAACAAACATTGCTGACATTTCATGGCAGGAGACAAGCTCTAAATAGGATAAATGGGTTTTGAGCCTGTTGTATAGGTCATCGTAACCTAAAGTAATGAATCTAGATTAACAACCTTAGTGGAAGTAATTGCTGTAATATAGATAGTCTACATAGGTTTAATGCCTGGGTTATGTAGGTTAAACAAGCTAAGTCTATATGCCTGTCCATCTTGTTGCCTTTGGCTGTGGGAAGAATGCTGAACTATTTCAAAATAGAAGATGAGAGTTGAAACCAAGATCAAGGGATGTGAGAAAGAATGACCTAAAGAAAACATGAGGGCAGTAAGTACAAATGACAGTGAGAGGAGTGTAGGAAGTAAGTAAGCGTGGTGATGCTAGAAAGAAGGGCCTGAGCAGGCTCAGATCTGCTGGCATGCCATGCTCTGGGTCGTGGTGACCTGCCCTCTTTCTAACACACCTTCTCTCTCACCTCAACACTTGACTTTAGAAAGTGCTATTGAAGAGACTGAATGAGTGGTTATAAAATTACCACCTTCAAAGCCCTTCTAGTGTTACTTGCTCTCATAGCATCCCATCCCCCAAAGCCCTGGGACAGATGTCGTGACTGGAATTGGCAGCAGGGATGGGGCAGCTGCTCAGCAATGCTCCCAGCTCAATGCACTCCCACTGGCTTTGGGTGGTGATGAAAGGGCCTGGTTGTTTGTTCCTGCATACCTGGGAGTGGGGAGGGGATGTTGGCTGTGGGCCAAAGCTCATCAGCCCACGCAAGGCTGGCAGCGCTGGATTATTTGCATTCTGTCTGGGGGGGAAGAAAATCGCACTGTACTTTTCATAATGGGGGAAAAAAATGTGTTGCCCTTCAGCCATAGTAATTTCCATTACAGTAGTCTGGGGGAGTAGAAGTCATCTGTGCCATGTTCCCTACGGGCATGCACTGTCAGCAATAAGTGCTGACACCAAGCCATGCGTGCATGTGGAAAGCTCTGTTGTATGCATGGCACAGAGTGCAAAGCCAACAAGATGAAAAAGAAGACGTGCATCTGACTGAGAGCAACCCAAGGGTGATTTATTCCACTGTTGTGTGGGAGAATCTTACCTTTCCAGAACAGGTGTAAGAAATCACTGTTATATAGCAATAACGTCTGTATGGCTCAGAAAGCATCTTAATGCCTTTAATTTCTCAAACAAACACAATTCACTGCTTGAAGGACGAAATCCTTAAAGAGCTCATTTAATTAAAAAAGATGAATGGAGAAAAGCAGAGCAAATAAGATATAATTATTGTTTTAATGTATATACGGCAAAGTAATCATGCTGCACATTGGGCATAAATTAAGGGAGTAAGAGGCTTAAAAACTCAGCATTTTCAAAAATGTTTTATCATGAAAAATTGCATTAAAAGTTCATGTTGGGAGTTGGCTCTTTTGTGGGCTCTTATGAATTAGTGCTGTGTTACTGTGCGATCATGTGTTTCCCTTCATTCGAAATGCTGTCACTATGATTGCAGATGAGTTGCATTAGATGTTTGAGCAGAAAGTGCAGTTGTTGGAACTGAAAAACAAAAGGGAAAAACATGAAAAAATGACATCCAGTCACTTGAGAACATCACTTTGGGCCATGCCATCTCTCCCTCTGTATTTCTCAAGTGTTCTCAGGGACAGGAAAAGGATGATGATTTTTCTTTTTTTAAAAGAAGTTGGTGCTGAACCTAAGAAGATTAATGATTCTGCTGTGCCTACTGCTTTAACATATGGTGTGGAGAGCAAATGGGATGTGGCGACAGACCCATGTGCTCCGTAATGAATGGCTGTGTCCAAGGGGTAGAACACAGCAACCTGACAGCAATAGCGTCAGCAAAACCTGAGCATCCAGCAGCAAGGGGTGCCTGAGCGTGGCTGAGGGCGATGCGATGGATGTGCCATGCATGAGGCAATGCTTGCAGCCTAGCAAGCTGGGTTTATGTGATGGAGGCGGGTGCAGCTCCTGCTCTGGGGCAGCTGATGGCTTCGCCGGTGCTGAGGGTTGTTATTTCTGTGGATCTTTTAATTTGTGATTTGGTTTTGAAGTCCACTGGCAGCATTGCCAATGTCAGACTTCCTCCAGGTGAAAGGGAGGAAATGCAGATGTGCACCTTGAAGTTATCTGAGCCTTTGAGAGGTAATATGTAGTGTTGGCATCTCAGTACCCTTTTCTTAGGGATTTAGTGTCTGACAGTTGAGTCTTGTTCATGAGGGGAGGATTGTGGGGATGACTACACGAGCTGAGAGACAGTTCTTACATCCTTCAGTGTACCTGACTGCAATGCAGGCATGCAGAACCTGCAGAAAATGATCAGACCCACCCCTTCAGGGGAGTTGGTTTGAAGTGCCAGATGCTTCTTAATCTTCCTGGTCAACATCTGCACTAATTTTGGTATACTTCGGAAGCAGATGTAAGAATTGCTTTCAAGTACTGCTCAATGTTCTGGCAGCGTGTAGCACGTAAGGAGGAAAACAGCACTGACGAAACAGAGTTTGGCTCTGGTTGCTTGTGAATCGAGGTCTGATGGGCTCCAGTTCCTGGGATCACATGTGGCACTGTGGGAACTGGTTCCCCATAGCCTCTGTTTGGTCTTGCTGAGGGGGGATGTAAAAAAAGGTCCTTCCTCCTCTGCTTCTTGGCATGCTGCAATGCACTGAGTGGAACCAACTCAGGACTGACCCTGATTGACTTCCTGAATGTAATCTGAGTTGTACCTGGTTCTTAATGGAAGTTCCCACATGTGATTAATTCCTGGTGCAGCAATTTGTTTTTTTTTTAATGATGAAGAATTTAAGTCAACTGTCAATTTTTTTCCATTGATGAACTAGAATTCCCATGGGTTGTCCTATAAGTGACTTAAACATTGCAGAAATCTCTCTGTGCCAAATATCACTGATGTTTTTGGGAAGCTTCAGTGCCTGTTGCTAGCTCCTGTGACCCCTCCATGCCTTTGTGCTGTTTGTTCCCTACTCATACTGAGGGTGACTTTGACAATCCAAGCCCCTTCAGGCAGCAGAGCTGGTTGCTATCTTTTTGTTACATGCAGCTTAAGATTGGTCCAAACTGTGTTAGTGTTCAGAGAGAAGTGGAGGGTCTTTGCTGGAAAACACTCATCAGTGAAAAATCGCCCTCCAGACAGCAGAACGTGCTCCTGCCTGCTCAGCCCTGGCTGTTTAGGTAACTCTGTTTAGATAGCAACAAGAGCCAACAGCTCTTTGTCAGCATATTAACTAGACAGCTTACTCCACTTTGCTAAATATTTACATTGTATTTACACCTGGATTTTAGCAGTGAATCTTCTCACATTCTTTGGATAGGGAGAAAAGTTGCCAAATAATAGGAAGAAATCTCCAGAATCCCTAAAAAAAAACCCCACATATATCTCTATATGTTTTACTTTACATAAACTCCTTTGATGCTGATTTATAGTCTTTGTGAGACCATTGCTGTTGTAAGACTTAACTGGGTGATGTGCAGGTGACCAAACTCCAGGTAATCTGCTGGCTCTGGGAAGAAGAGGGAGGTGTCAATTTTGGCAGCTTCAGTATCATGCATTTTGTTGAAACATTAATTTGCTGAAATCATAGAATCACTGGGTTCAGAAAAGACCACTAAGATCATCAAGTCCAACCCTTGCTGATTGCCATCGCTCCCACTGACTGTGTTCCCCAGTGCCACATCTCCATGGTTCTTGAATGCTTCCCTAAGCAGTCTGCGCCAATGCATTACCACTCTTTCTGAGAAAAAATGTTTCCTGATACCCTGAGCCTCTGGACATGCTGCAGGGCCTCGATGTCTTTTGTGTAGTGAGAGGCCCATCACTGAACACAGCACCCACCAGACCTGAGTACAAGAGGGCAATCACCTGCCTGGTCCTGCTGGCTATGCTATTTCTGATGCAAACCAGGCCTTCATTGGCCATCTTCTCATCTTCAGTCAGTGTTGTCCCTTTCTTACACGTATTTGACACTGGTTGTGTGTCCAGTTGCTGATAACAGACCAGCGCTAATTCATTTTCACTGTGTGCGTAGGTCTATAGGATGTGGTGTGCAATGAGCAAGTCTGGGCTTTTTAAAAAAGCTGGTGCTTGTTCACTCTATGAACATAAATCTAATGATAAAAGCAATAGGAGCCAATTTGAATGAGCTGTGGAGCTGGTTTGCAATCCAGTAAGCTGTACACACTGTCCCAACTTAAAACTTTAATTAGTTTCAACAGATGTTACCTCTGTGAATTTTCTGTCTGGGCTAAGGAAAGAAGTGCCAACCATGTAACCTACTTACAGCCTCCCAGTCTTTCCTCCTGTAGCTGAATTTAATGAGCTGAGGCAACTAATATTCCCACCCTGAATAAGTGGTTACTGCCAGAAACTCTTAGAATGGGACTCACAGGATGTTCTGATTAAAATCTGGATCCTTGCAAACAATGGCATCCAAGGGGGAAAAAAATTACAGGGCTTGAATTTGCGAATGAAATCATATTTCATATTCAGTTCAGAAGATATTGTGCAATCTTCCCAGGATACACAAATGAAGCCGTGCAGATGGCTGTCCAGAGCCTTGCCAGATCTCCTTGTTCATTAATCTTGACCACAAAGTATTTTACTTGGAGGAAAGCAAGCCCCAAGACCAGTAAGCTGCTTCTTTTGTGCTCATGTAATGTTCACCTGGGAAACGCAAGAGGCTTGAAACTCTTTAGTTCCTCTGCAGAATTTAGCTCTTGGTTCATAATGTCTGAACAGATGACATAGGTATAAATTGAACCAAACCAAGCCAATGTCCAACCCAAACCAACCAACCACCTAGATGTGAGGAAACAGGGACTTGTCCTAACTCATTGGCATCAACATTAAGATGGAGACAGCTCTCTTCTCACCTAATCCTTTCTTTGCAGTGGGTTCTTGGTTTCCTTCTTTTTGCCAGTAACACCCCTCAGGTTGTATGTAGCTGGTGTAGAAAATCTCTATCAAAGAAGATTTATTAAGCATCTCATTTTAGTTGTGATTTGCTAATGTCTTCACTTCAGTACCTGTAGACTGACTTTTTTTTTTTTTTTTTTTACCTTGAAACTTTTTTTCTTCTTATATAGTGACTGCCTGGTGTTTCTTAATTGGATGAAGCATTCGCTTCGTTCTCTCTCAAGTCTTTGTCAGGCCAAGATTTTTCTCTCATATTCTCATTCTTGACCCTGTGAGATACCCGTTTTGAAGGCTCTTTTGCATTTTTGAGTGAGAGTTATCCTCCACACAGGACTTTGGTGTGAGTTCAGTCGTTAGATATATTAGATATATTTTTTGTAGGTGTTTGTATCTCTTAGCCTCTTACTGAAAGGCAATTAAGCACTCTGGGGAGACTGAGTTTCTCTCAAGGACGTGATATTTCCATTATGGTTCCCTGATTACCCATCACTGACTTTTGTTCTTTCAAGAAGCTTGATCTTATCCAGAAATACAATTTCTATCAATTCTGAAGAGATTAACAGGAATATGAATGGTAGCCTCTTAATATTCCGTGATTTCATATTAGCTGCTGCAGAGGACTTGCACAATGACAGAGTTTATGCAGATAGAAGGGCAAGTTGTTCTGCAGCTAAGCAGGAGATACGATGCTATAGTTGTGTTGCAATCTGCCATCATGAAAAAGTAGGCTGGGAATTACACTGTGATTGCAGCGTTGCAATGCCTGACATCCTTTCCTTCCTGCAGAAACACCACTTGGCTACAGTAAGGTAGAATTCTGGTCATCCAAAGGCGATGGGTGCCTGTGCAGATGGCCATAAGGTGGTCAGGGAGTGATGATTGAATGTCCAAGTGCTGAACTTTGGCTATGAAGATTCAGAAAAGATCCGCTGTTCCCCTGCAAGGAGCTGAGAGTGAGCTTTAGTTTCTTTGAGCCCAGGCAGGCCAAGGGATCATCTGCCCATGATACAGACTGTAGAGCATCTTGGAGTCTGCTATTTCCACCAAAGCACAATATGTGCTCCTTTTGCTTGCTCTTCTACAATAGTCATTAATTAAATTTAAGATCTACATAAATTAAAGGTCTGTACCTGCCAGAAATTTCAAATAAGTTCAGATGACCTGGGAACCTACAATTCAGAGAGGCAAGTTCCCAGTTCCTGCCTGTGAGTCCCACAGGATGCTGATCTTCACACTGAGGCATGTGGCTGCTTCTCAGGTTTGGCTGTATGAGATGTACCTGAGCTCACATAACACATGAGAGCTGGAACTCAGTGCATTTCTTCTGTGTCCCATGCTAATGCTGCCATCACTGCTCTGTTCTCATCTCTGGCGTGGCAATAACACTGTGTTTTTTTTTAGCAGTTAGTCTTGCTTGCATTTGCAAACATGAAGCCAGAAGAAAGCAGTCTGTTCAAATGGAAAGGTTCAGTCAAAAACCCCTCTGCTAATTCCTGCTGTTTCTCAAGCTGCTAGGAAAAAATTTAGAGAGACAATAATTCATGCTGTGATAGGCATTTAAATAGTGCAATTAATTGCACTGTATGTTTTTTCACCTCTTCTTGGAAAATTGCAGTAAGGTAGAAGGATGTGGAAAGGAATAATGAATAAGAGGTGGTCTTTGCCTCAGAGCACTCTTATTCTTTTAATGGGAGGTATTAGATATCATATATATGTAAGAACACGTGCACCATTTTCTTTTTGTTTCACTTGGGTCTGTTGAGAGGGAGGACAGCTTCCCAAAAAGTGGGTGGGAAAGTTTTTCTCTGCTGTTCATTTTGCTCCAATCAGGACTATCGTGGCTTTTTTCTAGCTGGGAATTGAACTTATCAACCCAGTGAAGTTGACCGTGCTCCTGTAGACCATGGGAGATGAGGTGGCACCTTCCCAGAGGAACGCATTCGCTGCCCCTCTCCATTTGGTAAGGTCTTCTAATGAACATTGTGGCCAGCTTCTGGCTATGTGGACTGAGGCAGAAAGCTGCTCAGTTGTTTGTGTAGAATGCAAATGACCCCAGCTCAAGAGAACAGGGGTGATTACAGAAAGTGAGCCAGGCTGACACAGGTTGGTTGTAGGTAAGATGTATGTGGGGAACTGTCCTAAGGAGTGGGTCTGTGTAAAATTGTCTCCAACAAGTTTCTCTCTGATATATCTCAGAACTGCATTTATACCAGGCAGGAATGAGACTCTGACTTAAATTCTATCACTTCTTGTAATTTTCCATAAATCCATAGATATTACATCTACTGTAGACCTATAAGTAGAGCAGTGTGGTCTGCTGGCATAGGCATAGAATCATAGACTCGTAGCATCATCTGAGTTGGAAGGGACCTTTAAAGGCCATCTGTCCAGCTCCCCTGCAATGAACAGGGACATCTCCAGCTCCATCAGGTGCTCAGAGCCCCATCCAGCCTGACCTTGGGTGTCTCCTGGGGTGGGAAATCCCCATCACCTCTCTGGGCAGCCTGTGCCAGTGCCTCACCACCCTTATTATAAAAAACTTCTTCCTTATATCAAGTCTAAATCTCCCCACTTTCAGTCTGAAACCATTTCCCCTCATCCAATCACAGCAGACCCTGCTAAAGAGTTTGTCTCCTTTTTCTAGCTCCTCTAGTTAGTGAAAGATCAGATCCTTTTTGTTGAGCCTAATGATTTGCATGTGGCTCAAATATATTTACTGCTCCTGAAGATGTCAACAGAGGAAACATGCTCTGCTGCCAGCACAGCTGAGCTGTGCCTGCCCCATGAAACCATGAGAGTGACCCATGTCCTCCAGCCAGCCCTGGGGCAGCATCTGTGGGGTTTTGTATAGAGCAGCCCCAACAGAGGCAGTTTTTCACCCAGCCACAGGTGCTGTGGCTGTTTGAAGGATTTATCTGGAGATCTGCTGATGCACTTCAGTTATTCAGCTAACTGGGAGATGATTTAATTTTGTTTCAAGTCGTGCAAGCTAGTCAATGGGTTTGGGGTCCTACAAGTCCAATACCAGCTGGTTTGTCATGCACCTAGAGCCTTTTGTTTCCTGTTTTTGCTCTCCACTAGCAGAGAGGTTAACATTATTTATTCTTTTCATAACGAAAAAGCAATATCAAGTGTTCTAAAAGCTGTGACCTAAAGGCTTTCATTATGTTGTGCAGTCAAGGGCAAGGCTTGTATTCAAAGCTGTGGAGAGGCAGATGCCTATGTGGATCAATGTAATACAAATTATTCAGCTGAAAGTATAAAAGAAAAAAAAAGGAAAAAGAGAAAGAAATCTGGAGGCCAAATATGACAGATATAAAGAGATGGCTGTGTTCAGAGTTGTAAAGACCACATTATCGTCCTGGCAAAGGGCAGCTGAGTGAGATTTCTATCCCACCAGCATCTGCTGACGTTGGCTTTTCCAGGAAATAATGGGGCAATTACAATGCCTTGTTGACCTCAGGAGTGTTTATAGGGAACAAGAGGAGAAGCATGAGGAGGTCAGGGCACAACATGATGGCAGCAGAGCATTACACACAGGCTGGAGCTGCGGGGTGCCTCTAGGACAGAAAATGTGCTGGTTCTTTT